TAAGGTTTCTGTATGACAAGTTGATTCGCCCGCGTGGATTGGAGTCCAGATTCGCTTTCATAAATCCCAACATTGTCCACGCAGGGTCAATAATCGCAAAACCAGATGAAGTAATAGCATTTGTGCTCAGTTTATTTATGGCCAGCAAAGATACAGAAAAATTGTTCTTTTTACCATATAATACTGGCCCCAAGTAAGATTTTCATTCTAAATTACCTCTATTATAATTTTTCGTTTTTTAACGTTGTGCAGAAAATTTCCATCTAACCTTTGTTTAATATTCCAGTGGACACTGGTTATTGGTTGCAATTACTCATGTGAGAGAAATTGTATATTATCTGGATTCATTGGGCAATGATTGGACAACATACTCAGATATGAAGAAGATGATTGACACGTAAGTGACATTGTTCCAAAATATTACTGTGTATATTTAATTATTTATGTGCGATAGTTCTAAATATTCGTTATTATTTTATTATAGCATTCTACAAAGTTTTCGAGCACAAAGAGATATTCAAGTACCAAGGACTAGAGTCAACAATATTTCTTGGATCAAAGTGGAGGTATAGATTTTCACAGTTTTGATTATATAGCGATGATACTTGATAAAACAAGTTAAGGTGTATATCTTGATGTATATTCGTATTTTCTTTCCATGTGTAGTGTCCTCGTCAGCGCAATGGTGTAGATTGCGGTTATTTTGTGTTGAGGTTTATGAAAGAAACTATTCTTTTGGACCGATTAGAGATTCCATCCACGGTACGAATTTCTAACTTAGGAATTATTTTCATATTTCTCATAAAATGACTTAGTATTTTAATTAAATCATACTATGTTATATTATTATGTAGTACTTTGATGAATTCAAGTGTGCTTCATACTCAAAAGATCAATTGGATGAACTTATGGAGGATTGGTGCCAATTTGTTATGGAGTTGAGAGTTTTATTATAAGGTATAACTTTGAGTTTTGAGAATATAATATATGTCGTTATAGTTGTGTTACAATATTATTGTTTTTGTTGTTGTTATTTGGTAACTTGTATGAATTTTGATTTTTTGATTTTGTTTTCGGTTATATAGGTGCAACTCGATGTAGAAGATAGAGTTATATATTCATCGTGGATTTTGTTTCATTGTTGTATATACTAATGTTGTTGTTGTGTATATTGTACAAAAAGGAGTGAAGAGATGAATATTGATGTAGTTATAATATTGTTTTATTGTTGTATATACTAATGTTGTTGTTGTGTATATTGTGCAAAAAGGATTGAAGAGATGAATATTGATGTTGTTATAATATTGTTTCATTGTGGTATATATTAATCTTGTTGTTATGTATATTGTGCAAAAAGGATTTAAGAGATGAATATTGATGTTGTTATAATATTGTTTCATTGTGGTATATATTAATGTTTTTGTTTAAAATGTTATAATGAAGCTATAATTTCTGGTGCAAAAACGGTGAGAATAAATTTGATAGGCAGCGTTTTGTTTTAAATGAAAGCGATGTCTAAAGTGATTGAAATTTTTTTTTTTTTAAAATAAGGAAAAGCGCTGCTAAAGGGGGGGGGGGGGGGGGGGGGGGGGGGGGGGGGGGGTAATAGACAGCGCTTTTCATGAAAGCGCTGTCTAAAGTGATTGAAAATTTTTTTTAAAAAAAAAAATAAGGAAAAGCGCTGCTAAAGGGGGGGGGGGGGTAATAGACAGCGCTTTTCATGAAAGCGCTGTCTAAAGTGATTGGAAAAAATAAATAAATAAAAAAAGAGGAAACGCGCTGCTAAAGGGGGGGGGGGGGGTAATAGACAACGCTTTTCATGAAAGCGTTGTCTAAAGTGATTGAAAAAAAAATAAAAAAAAAATGAGAAAAAGCGCTGCTAAAGGGGGGGTAATAGACAGCGTTTTTCATGAAAGCGCTGTCTAAAGTGATTGAAAAAAAAAATTAAATAAAAAATGAGGAAAAGCGCTGCTAAAGGGGGGTAATAGACAGCGCTTTTCATGAAAGCGCTGTCTAAAGTGATTGAAAATTTTTTTTTTAAAAAATGAGGAAAAGCGCTGCTAAAGGGGGGGTAATAGACAGCGCTTTTCATGTAAAGCACTGTCTAAAGTGATTGAAAAAAAAATTAAAAAAAATGAGGAAAAGCGCTGCTAAAGGGGGGTAATAGACAGCGCTTTTACCAAGCGCTGTCTAAAGTGATTGAAAAAAAAGCGCTGTCTATACCTTTAGCAGTGGAGGTTTTAGTAGCGCTTTTAAGCGCTGTTAAAGGCCTAAAAAAGCGCTGTCTAATCCCTTGTTTGGCATAGTGGATTTTCTAATTTAACTGTGATTTAATGTAATTTATTTGTTGATATTAGGTTTAAAACTCAGTATCGTATATATCACAATGGTGGATAAGCATAATTGTTGTGATATCATGCGCATTTTCTAGTATACTGCAACGGTTTAGGATTGTGATTGTTAGTAACGAATTTACAACAACACTCTACACAACAACTTCTGGACCATCATGATTATATGTATGTTCTAAACGTTGTTAAATGGGTTTTTCGTAATAGTGAGTCTCTTTCTAGGTTGCTAGAGCAAAGGAATACTCTTGCTAGGTTGCTTTAGCAGAAGTCTCTTTCTAGGTTAATTGAGCAAAGAAGTTTTAAGTTGATTTGTTTAAGCAGTTTGTAATCAGGTTTTGATTATAATGGAAAATCTCTTGTGGGACAACGAGACTGAACTACTCTCGATTGTAGAGGAACTAGGATAACTTCTATGTGTACTTTTATTTATTGCTTCTGCACTTTACTATTTCATCTGCTATTTTCTCCTTCTTAGACTCTGAATTTATTCAATTTCACTAGTTTTTTTTACAGAAGCAATGAATTTCGCCATACATAATTCACCCCCCCCCCCCCCCTTCTTGTGTATTTTTCTCACCTTCACGACATACCAATACAATTACACACTTTTAATTCTGGTTCAGTTATAAGCAATTTCAAAATATGCTCTGATACTAATTGTTAGAATTAAATGACCTGACAGTTAATCAGATATACATGCTCACAAAAGTATGAAATATAATTAAGTGTGAAAGCTAGATAGTCATACAAGCATGTATAAAACTAAAAGATCTACAAATAAATTTTAGGAATACCTGGATCCATTTAAAAAGTTCATGTTGGCGGCGGTAATCTTGAAGGTTAATAGATGAACAACGAATACTTGATGGTTTGTATGGTTCTTCCTCAATCGGTATTCCTAATGTCTTGAATACTCTTCAGATGGAGAGAAGAGATAATTTACTTATGTACAGTATATTGAGGACCATAGCCTATTTATAGAATGATGATCAATTAGGCTATCGATTATTTTTAAATGGATCATCCTAACATCCACTCATATTTGAACTTATATTCAATTATTTAATTAATTAATTAATTAAACAATTTCTAAACGAAATTTAATCATCCTTTTAATTTTATTCGATCACTTAATTATTTAAAATACTTAATTGATAAACATAGATAATATAATTAAAATATATATTTACATAATAATTATTGAAATATTAAAATATTATATATAAAACATTCCAACAATGACTACATAATATGTTTCATGCATTTAATAATAGATTAATTTAACTTTTATTTTTATTAGTCATTTTTTACAACAATTTTTTTCTTTCAATATATTTAACTTATTTATATCAATAATTTCTTTTATATATATATATATATATATATATATATATATATATATATATATATATATATATATATATATATATATATATATATATATATATATATATATATATTAACAATTTCTAAATTAAAGTTTGAATCTTAATTTTTTTTGATAAATGAAGACAAATGATCCAACTTTTTTTATAATTATGTCAAAAGAAAATTAATATTTACATACAGCAGTATATAGGTTTAATCCAACTATTTTTATATATGGTTAAATTATATTTATCATTCGAACATAATTAAAAGAAATATCTTTCTTTTAAATATATTAAAAAAATTTGATTAAATATTTTTATTTTTCTTTCTTTTTATTTTTATTATTTTTTATAAACATATACGTGTAACACATTGGTACTCATATGAAGGAATGAATATTTCATTAATTAACTTATAGTAAGAATTATAAGTTGTAGTTTTTTAATTTTAGTGACAGATGTCTAACAAAAGTCGAAATGATAAGTGACACATGACTTTTTTATTATTTTATATTGTTAAAATTATAAAATGTCATCAAAGTTTTTGAAGTTATAATTCACTTAGTAAATTAACCATTTAATACTTTAATTTAGGATTTTATATAAATTAATAAAATTTAAATATTGAGTTAATATTTTAGCAATACTATTTAATTAAAAAAATTCATATGACACTTTTCGTTTTCGAGTTCATATGCATTAAAAAATAAGGAATAAAATTGATAGGAAAAAAATGCGCACGTGAAGAAGAAAGTTTTAAAAGATTTTTTATCGATTAAAAACCAAAATTTATATATTATAGAGACAAAAACAAATTTAACCAATTTTTTAAATGATAAAAAATATTCATATAAGAAATTGAAAAAATTAAAAATGTAGTAAACATATATTAATGACTCTTAATTGAAAATTTACTCAACTTTATGTCAATCTAATCAAGTAGTCTATTAAAATTTCAATTAAATCAAAAAATAAAAAATAAATTTAAAAATAAAAAATAATTAAGGTTAATAATATCCCATAATCTCTTTTGTCCGAATTGAAGTTGAGGAGTTACAAAAAAAAATCTGAATTAATTCCTGACCCTCGGATAGAAAACATGATCTATGACTACTATTCAATGTGGCTTATAAAAGGCTTGTAATAAGCTTATTTTCAACCAATTTTATTACCTAATAAAATCAACCTTAAGACTAGCCCATACATTAATCATCATCCCTATAAACTAGTACTTGCACTTTTTATTCACCCTCTATATCACCCTCATATATTCATTGACATGTTTGGCAATGAAAATATAAATACCAATGACCCTTTCATGGATAGATCTTTATATGGCCAAATGATTCATTACCCTAACCATCAAGAGAATAATTCAATTGCATTTCCTTACTCTTATGGTTCAAATTGTGATGAGTTTATGTGGCCAAATACTCAAGAATCAAGCTTTGGTGTTGATCATGGAGTCTTAGCAAATGAAGAGGCTTTGAAGTGGACTAACTTCGACCAAACCTCAACATTGTGCCTTAAGGATGCTAATGGCTATGGTGAAAACACAAAAATTGTGGGAAAGAAAGGTAAGAAAGAGAAAGAGACTTCTATGGTTTGGATCAAAGGACAATGGACTGATGATGAAGACAGGTTTAATATTTTGTTTTCTTTGAGTACTCTACTTTTTTTTCCTTACATATATTTGCAACATAATATAATTTTAAATTGCGCATGCGCAGATTGTAATTTAAAAACTATGATTTTTACTAAAGTTTGTATTTATTTGTTATGATGATTATAGGAAACTGATAAGGTTGGTGAAAGAAAATGGTGAAGGAAAATGGACTCAAATAGCTGAGAAGTTAGAAGGAAGGGTTGGCAAGCAGTGTAGAGAGCGATGGCATAATCATTTGCGTCCTAATATTAAGGTTTGAAATATCTATCAATTTTCGCTATTCTAATTCAATTTTTATTACAAAGGTGTTCATTGCATGATGACTCTTCTTCTACAATGTTGCATGCAATGTTTTATCAGAAAGATAGTTGGAGTGAAGAAGAAGAGAGGATATTAGTAGCCATGCATGCAAAAATTGGAAATAGATGGGCTGAGATAGCAAAGAGGATTCCAGGAAGAACTGAAAATGCCATAAAGAATCATTGGAATGCAACTAAAAGAAGACAAAACTCAAAAAGAAAAAACAAGAGGAAGATAGAAACTTCCAATGGATCAAACCCTAAGTCCTCTATACTTGAGGACTATATCAAAAACACTATCACTACTACAATTACCAACATACCCTCTTCCACTCATACAACATTCTCCCAAAACCTTGAACAAAATCATTCAAACCCTAACCCTAACCCTAACCCTTTGTTCAATGGACTACCCTCTGATTCTTTTTCCAATGAATATTTGGGGTTTTTTCAAGGTAACATTGTTGATGAGGTGGATGAAAGTGGTCTTGTTAATTCAGTGCAATATCCAAATTACAACATGCACTTGGATTATGAAACTACTCGAGCTAATCATATCAATAATTTCCTTTCTTATGATCTCTACCTCTCTCAATTGTTGAATTAATAGGATTATATATATAAATTATTAGAAAAAATTGAAATATCGACCGAAAATTAGAGACAGAAAAATGTAAATTTCTCTCTATTTTAGTAATTATTTTTTTCTTCTCTAATTTTAGTCTTTATTCGATTTTTTTCTGGTATTATGTGATAATCCTTGTTTAATCGATTTCTAGTCATTATGCATGAGATCAAAACTAGCATAGATTTTCAGCAAGATTTCTTCATTTTAATAAGTTCAAAGAAGACTATTTGTTTTTTTGTTATTAAGATTGAAACCATTGGTGTGGTGCTACTACTTAGTTGGGTGTTAATTGTGGTTTAGGCGTTTCTAAACTTTAATAAAGGTTATTGATGTTTTATTTTTTGTATTTGATTTAGCTGCAATAATAGTGTTTAATTATATGAGAATTTAATGTTTTACGTGAACTCCTCTTTCCATTTATGTCATAGTTGACTCATTGTACCCATATTATTAGCTCTATGTTTTCATATAGTTGGAATCCTATGATGTTAATGAGCCAAAATTAACCATTTATATATTGACCATTTGAGAGCATTTGATTCAAGGATTTATAAAGATTTTTAGGATTAACTTGGCTGAGAATAAAAATATGAAGATCTAATTTCTGAGCATTTTTCTAAATATTTTTTTGACATATAATTTGATATTTCTTAAAAAATGAGTAGTTATATTTTTTTTCAAAAAAAAAATGTAAAATTTCATGAGAATGAGCATTTTCACTTTCTTTTCATAAAATAAAACTCAAAGTTATGGAAATTATGGAAGTTAGAAAAGTTATTTGATTTCAATAAACTCTTATTCTTGAAAATAATTTATTTTTAAATTTGTAACAAACATGGAAGTAAATATTTTCCCCCAATATTTCGAGAAATATATTTTCTAAACTTAAAATAAACGCTCCCTTTTATTTCATTTATGAAAGCATGTTGAAAATATGTAATTGAAATATTATTAAAAAGATAAGAATTAGATTGCGAAAGTATGAACACCTTTATTGGTAAATCTCCAAACAAATCCAACATGAACGTAAGTTTCTAAAGTTGTTAGAATATATAGATTTGTCTGTTGAAACTGAACACTGATATAAAATTTGGAGAGTAATCACTTATTGAATTGAAAGCAAACTGTTGGCTATATAGCCTTACAAATTGAAAACTGAAACACAGTTGCAACAGTCCACGTTTTACTGCCTAGAACGTGGAATGAGTCATTGAGAGAAAGATTCTAATTCCTATTCAAGTGCTGCCACTTCCCTAAAGAATAGGACATTACTTAACAGACTGTCAAACATAAAACAAATAAATATTAAAGAATAAATATTGTAAATCTAACATTCCCTCCCTTAAACTATATGCAACAAGCATTTAGTTTACCGCTGAAGCTTCAACCATTCCCAGCATATTTCGAAGTTTCAGAAATTGTGCTAATTTGAGAGGTTTTGTCATGATATCTGCAACTTGTTCTTGAGATTTACAGTAGCTTAACTCCACAACATTATCCCTTGTCAAATCTCTAAGGAAATGAAACCTTATGTCAATGTGTTTGCTTCTACCATGAAAAACTGGATTCTTTGACAGCTTTATAGTAGAGTTATTGTCACACTGAATTAGAGTACTCTTCTCCTCTTTGTGACCAAGTTTCTCAAACACCCTTCTCATCCAAACACACTGACAAGCACAAGATGCAGCGGCTATGTACTCAGCCTCTGTAGTCGACAGTGTCACAATAGGCTGTTTTTTAGAAGACCACGAAACTGCTCCCGAACCAAGTAAAAAAACAGAGCCCGAAGTACTTCTTCGATCATCTAAATCACCAGAAAAATCACTATCAGCATAAGTCAACAAATTTGTGCAACCTTCCTTCTTGTAGAAAACTTCAAGCTCAGTGGTACCTTTTAAATACCTTAGTATTCTTTTTGCTGCAAGCCAATGAGATTCAGTTGGACAAGACATGAATCTACTAATAAGACTCACCCCATACGTCAAATCAGGTCGTGTAGCAGTCAAGTACATTAGACTGCCAACAACTTGTTTGAACAAAGTTTCATCAAATTTGGTTCCAGCTTCATCTTTTGACAACTTTGTGCCTGGAACTATAGGATTCTTTACTGAATTACTCTCTTCCATTCCAAACCTTGATAAAATTTCACGAGCATACTTTCTTTGACAAATAAAAATTCCACGAGAACTCTGCAGCACTTCAATACCAAGAAAGTATCTCATCTTCCCCAAATACGACATGTCAAATTCCAACATCATCGAATTCTTAAATTCTTCACACATACTTTTATCATTTCCGATATATATTAAATCATCAACATAAAGGCTTACTATTAAAATTTTACCTCTGTCTTTTGACTTTGTGAACAAAGTGTGTTCACAAAAACACCTTTCAAAGCCTTCTCGAACAAAGAAAGCCTTTATCTTGCTATACCATGCTCTTGGTGCTTGCTTCAAGCCATACAACGCCTTTCTTAACTTGTAGACTTTTCCTTCTTCACCTTTCTTCTCATATCCCAGCGGTTGTTGCACAAACACTTCTTCATTTAGTTCACCGTGAAGGAACGCACTCTTTACGTCAAGCTGAAGAACATTCCAACTATTTTGAGCTACTAAAGCAAGTATCGACCGAATAGTGTCAAGTCTGGCCACCGGAGCAAAAACTTCAGTATAATCAACTCCGTATTGTTGTGCATATCCCTTTGCCACTAGCCTTGCTTTGTATTTATCTATTTCACCGTTCTCGTTAAGTTTAGTCTTGAAAACCCATTTAACTCCAATGGGATTTACTCCTTGGGGCGGAACTGTTAGTTCCCATGTCTTGTTCTTTTCTATTGACTCAATCTCTGCCGTCATTGCGTCCCTCCACTTCTTGCTCTTGACAGCCTCTTCAAATGAAACTGGGCATTTTCAGTGAGCATTATCATTGCATTCAAACCATCTTCATCTGACAAACCTTCACCAGTTTCATAATCTTCCATCCAAAACGGTGGTTTTCTTACCCTCCCTTCATTAGTAATTAGTGGTTCCTCCTCATGTGATTCACTAGATGTTGAACTATATTCACTTGAGTTTCTTGTATTAGTAACAGCGCCACCGTCTTCATCTTCATTGCTCTCTACTCGTTCAATGTCATTCTCAAAATCATCTTTGCACTCTAAGGCATCCAGCTTGCATTCATCTTTGCTTTTGTCCCAATTCCAGCATTCATTTTCCTCAAAAACCACATCCTTGCTAATGATTATCTTCTTTGAAGCTGGATCATATAATTTGTAGGCCTTTGATTCATCACTTACTCCCAACAAAACACATTTCTTACTCTTGTCATCTAGTTTACTTCTTTTTTGGTCTGGAACGTGTGCATGAGCTACACACCCAAACACTCGAAAGTAGCCAATTGTTGGCTTCACACCACTCCATGCCTCTTCTGGAGTTTTGTTTTGCACTGCCACAGTAGGACATCTATTGAGGATATCCACACTCCATTTTACAGCTTCCGGCCAAAACATTTTAGGAACCTGTTTCTCGGCTAACATAGAGCGCACCATGTTCATGATTGTCCTGTTTTTTCTCTCCGCAACTCCGTTTTGTTGTGGAGTATAGGCTACTGTCAGTTGTTGGAATATGCCTTGAACTTTGCAAAATTATTCAAACTCATTTGAGGTAAACTCACCGCCTCTATCTGTCCTTAGAGAGGTGATATATTCACCAGACTCCTTTTCAACACAAGCTTTAAAATTCCTTAACATAGCAAAAGCCTCAGATTTTTCATGTAAGAAGTAAATCCAAGTTTTACGAGTGAAATCATCGATAAAACTTAGAATGTACCTCTTGTTGCTATTTGAATTTGGTTTAATGGGTCCACATATGTCTGCATGCACGAGTTGCAACTTGTTTGATGCTCTCCATAAACTCTTTTTGGGCATAGAGTCTCTATGTTGCTTGCCGGTTAAACACTCTGTGCACAACCTTTTTGGAATCTTGAGTGAAGGCAACCCATTAACCATCTTCTTATAAAAAAGTGTCCTAAGTCCCTTGTAGCTCAAGTGACCATACCGACAATGCCAAAGGTAAGATTCATTTTCTGACTCAGTTTTGAAACACATAGACTCCTTTGGTATCATACCAGCTAGCAAGAAGAACATTCTATTTCCACTCATATTTGTCTGCATAATTAACCCTTTTGTAGGATGATATACCCTACACTTCCCATTTTGAATCAGAATAGCTAAGCCTTTTTCTTGAAGCTTCCCTATGCTCAATAAGTTATTTTTCAACTCAGGAATGTCGTAAACATCAAAAATTACCTGAGTAACTCCATTAACTTGCATGTGAACACTTCCTTTTCCCATAACCGCCATTCTAGTGTCATTGCCGAGTCTTATAGATTGTCTGAAGCTTTCATCCAAGTTTGTGAACCACTCCTTGATTCCACTCATATGATTGCTACATCCGGAGTCGAGAAACCACACCTTTTCCTTTTTGGTATGTTTGAGTTCAACATAGGACATTAATAAAATCTCCTCTTCTTCTTCCCCTTCCAATTCAGCATAGTTGTCCCTTCTCTCTGAGTCTGGACACTCATATTGATAGTGTCCTAACCTGTGACATCTAAAACACTCAATGACAGCTTTGTTGATGGGTTGTCTTCCCCTTCCTCTACCTCTTTCAAGCAATCCCACGTGATGTGCTTGAAACAATCCTTAACAAAGACACGTCTAAGGGTATATGGGATTCAATGAAGCAAAAATTCCAGGGCAAAAAAAAAAGAATAAATATTGTAAATCTAACATTGTCCTCTAAAATGATGTCACTAAATTCTAAACTGTCTTATGATTTGCGATGTGAATATATAAGTTTCCATATTGCTGAGTCTAAGAAATAATAAATAAACAAAAGTTTTTCTTTATTATTTTTATCAACTATTGCATTACAACTATATGACTAATTTGATATATGGTAGAGTATAATTAGTTAAAA